AATTAAAGATAATGATTTACGCAGAATTTCCTAGTTATTCACACGGATAAAATTAACGTTTCGGTTAATAAGATGAAACATTGACTTGGGAATTAATCATTTAAAATAGAAAGTAATTTAATGTTTATCTAATCTGTGATTAGATATAGAAGAAGAGATAATCTGAAACTATTTGAAACTTATTATTGCTAGTTTCTTTTACGTATAATATCATCATGTGATTTGGTACTTTGATTACAAAGTATTAACTCTTTCTTGATTGCATTAAATAACTGATTAAAGAAATTCACCGTTTGATAAAGGGATGACTAGTTCTTTTTTAGCTTGTTTTTTTCTCAAATAAACGATTAAAACAAAATGAAATACAGATTAAATTAGTAGTAATCACAGCTGTTCAATCATCAGAATTATTTACAAACGAAAAATATCTGTCCAAATACTCAAGGAAATACACAATGAAAAGTGAACCGAGGGTTTGATATAAATAACTTGAATGTTAAATTTAATATCATCCTTTTCATTCAAAAATATTTGCCAGAGAAGGACTAAATAAAAATCAAACTATTTAATCAAATATTAGTATCTGCAAAATCTGTATACTTATCAAATGGAAGAGTAGTGTTTAATCTCTTTCAAAAATATATTATTGAACAATAATCAAATATATGATGGTAACCGATGACCAGTTTCTAGATATAATTTCTGGAGTTCGTGGATGTTTAATTCTGAGCAGCTAAAAACTGCGACAAAACGGCCATTCAGTGCTTCCAAGTTTTCCATGATGATATAAATAGGAATTTCATGAGTTAAAATCTGAAAATTTGCATTATCTTTACAAAACCGTATGTTAAAAATAGACAGTTAATTAATTCTTTGCTCGAAGTATTGTTGTACCTAATTAAGTCATCTTATTTGACATCCCCAGCCATGAATCATAAGGATATAGGGATAAAACTTACATACAGTTGATATTCACAGCATTCCATTCTATGCTTCTCAGAGATGCATATTATCTAATAGCATTTGTGTGGATAAAATTATTAACAAACATTGACATCAGTTATACTGGAAACATAAATCAGAGAACATCAGGGAGCAATAATGCGATAGTTTGGGACTCATCAGTAGTTTGTTCAATATTTTTAAATGACTGTTGTTTACGTTTCGCATGGTCTTTTAGGTTCCCGTGGTATGAGCATTTAGCTTTGGCATTCGAATGAATAGTTAATTACTAATTACCCCGAATTTAAAGTTATATTGCGTCATGAATTGAAACAGATAGGTAACTCTAAATCTACACGGCCTATATTTTAATGAATTTAGTGGTCACAGTTGACCAGTGCTAAGGATTCGCAAACTTAGGCAAAATAAATGTCTAGTACCTCTAATAAATTCCCCATTCATAGTGTACGAAGTCGTTCGAACTAAATAACATCTTGAATCCTTATACCATCATAGCTGTGCTATCTTAAAAATCCCTAACACTCAGCTTCTTATATGCACTCAAATATTCCAACTTCAGTATTTCATAATTCATTCAACAGAATGACCTTATTTACGTCACAGTAGATCTGATTTAGAGAGGACATTATTATTGTTTTATTCAAAATAACGTGTTTGTCGAAGTAATTTTACGCTTTGTGCAATTCGAGCATTGATACATATATTCTACTGACAAATTTCAATCTATTGTTGAAGTGCGTATCTACTATTTTCAAGGTCTTAATAATACAAGGCTGCTTTCAACACACAATGCGACTGAAATCTACCTAACTTAGCCATCCCTGGATCTCAGGTACAAGTTGGTACCCCAACTGGTAGCAATTCATGGGCAATGTCACAGAATAAATTATTCTCCATGACGAAATTTCATTGATACAAAACATTCAGCACTTCAGTGCAACATTTCAAGACGAAGTTTTAAAAATGCGATGGTGATGAGAAGTATCATACTAAGACGAACTACCAGTTCAGTTTTCTATGGTTTTCAGTGATATTTGACGGAACATTTCAACCTCCAGACAGATGAATCATCAGTGAGATTAACCATTTGTCCACAACACAACTACAATGTGGAAGATTAGTATAATTTTCCAAGTTGATGAATAGAGGTAATCACATGAGAACGGTAATGGATGAAATGTAACCATATAATAATAATAGGACGAATGAAATGCGTGAATGTCAGTGGAACATATTTAGCTGAAAAGAATTAAGGATAAGATAACGTGCTACTTGAAAAGAACAAGAGAATTAAAGAGAAACCAAAAGAATGTATATTAAAACGTAAAGCAAATTACGCAAATACAAAAGAAATCCAAAGCGTGATAAAAAAGCGATCTTAACAACTGATTTTTTACACTGATGTGGCTTTACATAGCGCATCATCAACTGTCTTGAAAAGTATGAGAGTCTGTTGATTTAGTTTACGCGCTTAAATACTGAGTCGGATACTACGTAATTTTCGTCGAATGAATGTTGTAGAATATATGATTTCACAAAACCGTTCCATAGCCATTCTGAGCGGTTCATCTTTGGAGATGGGTGAGGTGATCGTCAGGAAACCACCTATAAACTTAGTACCACAGGTAAGAATGAAAGAATAAATAAAACTCGAGTTGTTCAAGCGAGGTAGAAGGTTTTTTCATTCTGATTCTCAATATCCGACTACTAATGAAGGACAACAACTCTGCAAGTCACAACCAAGTCGTTGGAACTTATTTTTTGAATGCCATCCATCATGGTATTTATTTATTTTACTGAACTTCAACAGATGAATATAATGATCTATCGGTTCTCATTCGACACCCGAATATTTCATCTTGTAGTTGTGTCATTGATGTTTAGTCTCATACCTATCCTCTAATTCCTAGTCTGACTCATTTATTTAGTCACTAAATGCGTTTATAAATCAAATTGATTTTTTACTTAAGTTTCGATGGAAACATTAAGCAGTTAAAAGTTGAGGTCTTTGTTATCATCCTTAGATGGTACAGAAGAAGAACGCTTCAAACTCAATTGAACTTATGATATAGAATGAGTATTTCTCTCTCTATTTCGATAGTATTATTAAATTAATTTTAAATAACTGATTTTCGTTTGACTGCTTATGACTTACATACCATTTGAATGGGATGTTGTAAATATAAAACCAATTTTATGCTTGTATTTATTTGCTAATAATAGGTAAAATGCACAGATAACACAACTAAAACAAAATATTCACCTGGCAATTTATGCCTTTTAGCTGTTGTTTAACAGATGTCTATTTTGTTTATTAACCTGTAAATCGTTATTGGTACACCTGATCAAATTCATTGACCAAATACACGAATTCTTACTTATAGGTATACATATTACATACAATTCAATCTTTCTAACAATCAAAAAACAATCATATACCACAATGTGTTTTTTTCTTCAGAAAATGCGACTTTAGATGCTGAACATCCAATTGTTAATAAATAGTCCATTATGGAATTTGTAAAACAAGCATGGCCCTATTATTATTGATAATTTTTTTCTATTTTTGTTTTACCAGATGTTAACACTAAGTGAAATCAAAATGTAATAGTTCCCCTAACAATGGAATAAAACAACTGTATACTATTGTACATTGAAATCGTTTGTATCGTATATCGTCAATTTAACTAGGTGATAAGCAATAAATTTGCATTAGTGTAAACAGCTAACAAAAACGTTCGTTGTATTTCCATACATGCCGAATTCTAGTTCCTGGAACAAAAGAATTTTTCATATGATGAGATAATAGAATATTTTAACTTTCATGTAAAGTTTTCAACTGTGCGTAGCTTCACATTTACTTGTAATTTATTTTGCATATATCATAATTTGAGAGCTTTCAATTTATAACATTGTTTATGGTTTAGTGGGAAAATACTAAACTTCTGCCTCTTAACAGCGTAAATATATAAACTAATCTGTCTTTTAAACTATGTTTCGAAGGCTCCATTTCACATTTAAGAGAAATAAATGTCAGATGCTTTATGAACACAAAAATCTCTAGTTTACGTAGGTTTAAATAATAGTAGTAATAATCATTATAAAGTTTCTAAATAGGAAATCTTTTAAGTTATGTGTATTTTTGTTATGATTGCTTTATGTAAGACGAAATCGGCTACCATGATAACCAATAATTGTATTTTAAACAATGACTTAATATCGTGTATAGTGTATGCTAAATTTTACGAAGTGTTGAGTACTGTAATTTCTGGAACGCTTTAATCTGAACGATTTGAAACTCTATGAAATCTCCATTTTAAATATTAGCCTATTAATATTACAAATTTGTTTGTTTGTATCGAAACTGTACATCACATGACAAAGTCGTCTCAGTTGTATATAACAATGGTATATATATATATATATATATATATATATATATATATATATATATATGTAATAGCAGGTTTAAGAGATATCTGAAGAAGTAATTATTTCGTTTCATACTATATAATACAATTATTTCAAGTGTTCCGCGAAAAAAAGATTCCTATCAAATTTGAATGACTTTACAAATTGGTTTAAGTGAACTTTATCCTAATAAAGAAATTTAAATTTTTCTTTAAAAAAAATTGTCTGAAATAAAGATAGATTTTGTGTGAAATTAGTTGATGCGGGTGAACAATATATAAAACGAACTAAAAATGATTTAACCCAAACTAGTGACATACTACAATGATCTAATTGTTTTCAAGGGGGTTACTCTATAATAGATCCTACTGATTAAGGTATGGTTTTATGGTATAATCCTTTCATTGGCACCATAATAAATTACAAATAGAGTTTCAATTAAACGGTTATTTTACTTATATATTTTTATTTATATGAAAATGAAAACAACAAAATTTGAGCACATTTATGTGTCGTGAATCAAAGTTGATAAATATAAAAGGATTTTATTTATATTATCAACAAATTTTTGGCTGCTGAAACGTACTACTGATACCACACATATCTCAAATTATTTTTAAACTTACTATTTATAGTAAAGTGATATATTTTTGTATAGTCACAACTGTGAATTACACTCTATAATTTGTATCATGATTGTTATTTCCTTCGAACGTTTTAGAATAATCTGATGGTATTCGGATAATTGATTGTATTAAACATCATCATTTGCATTGAAACAATAATAAAATCATACAACTATGCATTCAAAACATCATTATCTCGAGGAAATCGTTTAGTTTTAGGACAGTTTATGCTAAATTATTTTCTGTTTTTTCATATGAGTATTTGACATATATTCACTTGGGCAAAACTTTATACATATATGGATGTGTGTTGATGAGCATTAGTTTCCCGTTAAATCATTTAACTTTTATCAATTACTTGTGCATATATCTATTTCTGTATGTTTGTATTCGTAATTCAACACCGTTCAGTTAAATAATTATCTCACTCTCACTACCCTTCACTTTGTTCTTTTGTTTTTATTTTTCCTTAAATTTCTTGTTTTCAACAAAAATCAACAGCTGATTGGTTTATACTAGTAAAGTGACCAATCATAATTTTTTTTCAATTTTTTATAACATTTCGATTCATTATAATTTTTTATCGTAGTGTAGTAAATTATAGGCTGCACAAAAGTATATAGTAAATGAGTTGTCTAGTTGAATAAATCGATAAACCTAAGATACGACAACTTAATAGTTTCAGTGGAAATAATTCACTTCGAATGAAAGATAGACGGGGTTGAAACCTTGTTTACAACGTGTGTTATGAAAATAGGATGGATAAAAATGACATATTAGATTACGTTTTGTTCCCTTCACTATTTTCTTTAACAGATAAACAATGTATATTTATTTTAGACTTAAACAAGAGGTGAAGTATTTGAAATAATAATGAACTGCACAAAGTAGGCAGTTGTATGTCCGTGAGTCTTCTTTACTTATGTCTGTTATGTTTTATTTCCTGACCTGGTTAGTTTAACTGATGAAATCTTGTTTATACTTCTGAACAACATCACCAACTTGAGTTCAAAACAGTTATTGGAAGCAACCGACTATAAACAAAACCTTCAGAATTGATATATTGGTGAAATGCTGAAGCAGGAGATGATGATACTGTAGAGAATGACGGTGAAATCACTTCAGTTAAACTAAGAGCATCCACCTGAGCTTCAAATCATGTCCATTTTTTATTACGTAATCATTCCGAAGATGCGGCATTCATTTCTAAAATTCGTAATTGCGTTTCATAGATTAGTAAACTGTACCATGACTTTGAAAATATTTAAATAGTCATTAATACTGGTAAAAAAATAAACCATAGATAGCTTACCCGAAACGAGATATCAATCAATTTTGAATTCCATGTAATATGTTGAAAACTAGCTTCGAGCTTATGCAAACACATCAGTGTTTTTTTGCTAAAGCTATTCCAATCACTTAATGTTAGCATCGAAAAAATTTCCTGCCATAAAAGTCTCTAGCCATTCGTCCTCTTACTATATCCTTAAACAAATGTTTGAATAATAAGTTTGTTGTATTGTATGAGAATTTTTACATAAACTAAAATGAGTGAACTCGATTGAGCACAATAAGAGACAGTGTGACAAAACGTCGAAAGAGAAAAGGATGTCTATAGTGACACCTAAAATAGCTTTGCAAAATGCAACGAATAATTTGAAGTGCAACGTTTGTATGCAGCTCTTCAGAATATGGACAGTACTTGTTCACCTGTTGGTGGATTTAACAGTGGACACTGAATTTGTAATCCAAAAGCTGATGGAGATAGGCGAGGACCCCACAATGATCTATCACATTTTGACCTATGTATGGTATTTCAGTATTTATGCCCTAAAAGGACGGTGAACGTAAACTTTCTGATATAAAACTATTCAGCTATTACCCATATTTACAGAGTATACAGCGTATATAGTGTATTTAGATCTGTTACAAATTCTCTAGACGTTTATTTCGGGTTAATCTTGTGCTTTCTGTAAAGTTGTATAGTTAAGGTGATAGGCCATATAGGCAACCATCACGATATCATGAATTTGATAGTGATATAATCTACTTTTTGGCATTCAAAACAGGTAATAATGATGTTAGGCTTTACCATTTTTGTAAAAATTCTCACAAAGTAAAAATGTATAACTATGAAAACATTATATGAGATGTCACAATTACAATGTTTGCTAATTTGTTGTACAATCATATAAAACACAACAACCTTTGTTAAGATCTATCTGTCTACAAAACATGAATCCAAACAGATTGATCTAATCAATGTTAACAGCTGTAAATGTTATTTACTGTTATTAAAAGCTGTTTCATTTGCTACTGTGTTCTTTTACCACAGTGAAGAGTTTGCAATAAACAAATACAAATTATAAGCAAAGATTTATGGCGGCCAGCATTGGAATGACACTGGATTCGAGTCGTGGAGTGAACGTTAGCTATGGGATGCATGTACATCCAGTTGACTAGTACCAAATATGATGAAACGCGCGTCCTAGATCCCACTGCTAGCCACCATCCACCTTTGCTTATAATGCTCGTGACTTAAGACAATATTGAGGCAGTTCGCACAGGATACACATATGCTAATAAGAAACTGATCAATTGTAGTCCCAAACATTAATGGGAAGATTTGAGCAAACAATACCAAGTGAATTTAAAAATATTAATTGTTACTTAAAATTGTACTGAAGATGTATCTCATTTGAAAAAAATTATTTTAAAACACAAGTGTTTTCGATTATCTCATTATTGCATAATAGAATAAGTGCATGAATTTTGGTGAAATCGCCTATTATTTCTTCAAAGAATAAGCGAAAGGCACAATGAATAGACACTGATAATACGAAAGTAGTTAACAAGTGCATTGGTTCCAAGTAAGTTGTACATTATATTTTCAATTGTTTAGAATCACGGTAGATTATGGAATTTTCAAAAAAAAAAAAAAACCAAATGTACATTAAACTATTTAGTAAAAATGTAAATACTTCGTCAAAACAAATTTAAATTAAGAAAATTAATTGTATTAACTGCATAGTTGTAAAATATTTAACCAAAAAGTTTAAACAAACACCTAATGTATGATGCTGTACATTTTACATCAATAAAGATGTGGATTAGTTTAATGTTCAGCTTTTATCTTCAGGCAGCGAACTATCAGATAAATAAACACAGTATCCAGTTAGTTTATTGGAGAAATAGCAATTTCATTGATAAAATTGGGCTACTTCAAAGTGTTATTTACTTAAGTATTGCAAGCGTTTTGGATAAATATAAACATGAAGTTCAGGTAGAGGTTTAAAGCTAAATAATTTAGAAAATTCATCATTTTTATTCGATATGGCATTACTATCTACTGAGCTAGATGACGAAGCTAAAATGCTATTCTATACTACTTAATGTAGTCTATTGAATGTTTTGCTGGTAATTAGTATTGTAGTTCAGAATTTCCGTTTTGTCTAATGAAAGAATCGTCAGTCGGTTATCTGTAGTTACTTATTACATGTAAACTCGTAGGGGCTATACGGCACAGAGATGGGTCAGATATAGTATTAAGTATCAGCAATAGGAAAACTTCTCGCCCATCAAATAATTACAAACACTGGAAATAGCGCTATTCATAGGATTTTCAAACGGACCAATTTTCATGCCCTCCTACTTTGAATGACTCAAGAAGTAAATTGACTTTAAAGGTTACATCATCTCAGCTGGGATACCTTTTGCAGGAGCAATAAACATTTGATGATATTTTGCGTTTATATTTGTTCAGAGTGCAAAATGCTTGCTGTACGACAAAAAATTTGAAGTCAAATGACTTTGTTTGTAGAACGTGATAAGATGTAACATATTTATTGTGAATAATATCACAATGTGTTTTATGTAGGGCTAATTTATAGAATGTTTCAAAAAATCAAGATTCTAAATTCCTATTTTTTAAAAAGATGAGTTGGATATTTGTTGGTGACCTTGTTCGTAAATTAATTCTTTCAATTTCTTCTTAGTATATATCATAAGACAAAAGAATGCTTTTTATCTTACAAAATTCACAGATGAAATTTTCCAATCGTATTATGGTTAGAATTAAGATTCACAAACGAGTATATACAAGTATTTCACCCAAAATTACTGTCATAAAATTAAAAAAAAACTTTGTTTAGAACATATGCTATGGGTTAAACAACATATAAATGATTAATGTGTAGACGCATTCATCCGCAAACGTACAAATTCAATCAAACGTGACCACGATTATTGGAAAGATCATAAGTTACTAGTTTATATACAGGCCTTATATACAGGTTTGCAAATTTAACACACTTGTACACAAGGTCATTTGTCTGAATTCTAGAAAAAAAGCCAACTTATTCAACAAAGTCGAACGTTCTCACGGTGGTCCATTCGTTAGCAATAAAATTAGATTCAATAATATTAAGCTACACTAATACCAACTTATGAAAAGGAACTAAATCAGGAGTAGACGATAAGCTTTGAAGATTAAAAATTCTGACTATATGTTATGTTTTTATAATACATTCGAATGAGAATCATTTTCAGTTGTCCGAATCAAAGCGCTGTCTGAAATATCCAATTAGAGACTGTAGCTAATTTGATTTGTGTTATTTAAATAATAATTTGAAGTCCTTGTAAAAATATTTGTTGTGATCAAAAAATTGGTAATTCTTGCAAACTAAGTTCATTTTGACGTCTTCATTACTCACGAAGACTGATACAGTGTTTTCCTAAAATATTTTTACACTTCAGTAAACCGTCTGAGTTGTAACCCTTTGTGTGAAATTTATTATTTGATGGTTGTTTGAACATTATAGTTTGGTATAGAGACTTTATTGTTAACAATACTGATATACCAAAGAGGCAAAGAGCTTTCAAATATTTTACTTCGTTGATAATGAAAAAATAGATTTTGTTAATAGAATGGTCGAATAGGCATTATACCTTAAGAACTGACCTATCAATCGAATGAGGCGTTGTCAACTGCTTTATATGGACTGTGGTCGTTCTCGACTCCATCGTTAGCAACAATTATATTTCGTAATTTGCCCTCAGTAGAAAATTATGTTATAAATTAAATCGATGACATCACTATCGAAACTGTGTGGCGTTTATAAAAAGGAAGGTTTTCAATTATATTACAAACTATTTTAGAAATAAATATGTAGAGAAAAAACAGAAAACGGAAAAACTCTCAAAACATGTATTACATAACGGTCATCATTGTCAAGCTTATTCATATGGAAGACTTTATTTTTAACCAGATAAAACTATACAGCTACAGTAACGGGAGTGTTTTAGACAGTACATATTAAAAAT